GTCATCTTAAATCAGCAGCAAGACGGTTAAAACTTGTTGAAACACAGTTGTTGAAAAACTGTTAGGTGTTTGAACAGGACAACGATAACAAACACACATCGAAACTGATTTCGATGTGTGTTTGCTAAATGGCTAACATTGAACAGGCTAACAGCCCTGACCTCAACCCTATACCCTAAGCCAGGATGGTGCCAGGAAATCAGCCAATTTAAATGCAATCTACCAATCCTTCCAACAAGACTTGTCAAATATCCAACCAGAGTTATTCCAGAAGGTTCTTGATGGCTACCAAAAGCATCTGGTTGAGGTCCAAATTACTAAGGGACATTTAGCTAAATTTTAGTGGGGTATATATTGGAGCTTGTATCTAAACTTTTGACCATGTGTGGATTACAAAGAATCCAAAATAAATTCAAACAAATCACTACACACAGAAAAAAGAACAGTTGAAAGAAATCATTAAAAGCTCCAAATTAGCATGACATTCATTCCCATGATGAGTTGATGTAAACTCTGGACCACAACTCTGGCTTGAACCACAGGTTGGTATTTTAAGCTCCCAGTCTGCTGACATGGGAATATATGGAGACTAACTTGCTGTTGGATCCAGCCTCAAGTAGCCACTAGAGGAACTGCATTTTATGTCAGCACTTGTGCTTGTGCTTTATTTTATTTTATCGGTTTGGCCTAAAGCTTATCCTTAAATTGTAGCAGCATGATCCACAGAAGGTTAATGTCAGTAAAGTCATGTGCAGATCTGACTTTCTACCTTTGAAAAACAGCAGCGTTTCAGGCATATTGGATTGTGTTGTGTTGTATTGTACAAGGAGAGAACAAACACTTTTCTGAATGTTTGCTTTTGTTTCCTGTGTGGGTGTGCACTGTTTACAGCCTCCTTTACATTCATGAATGATTACCTTGACTGAGACACAGACCAGCACACCACATTACTGCCAAGAAAGTTGGGTAAGCATCCATGCAGTTGCGACTAGAGAAGAAGTTTAAACAAAAGCTGTTATTAGCACATTTCAAGGCAAGTGTGAAGAAACTATGAGGCAATGGCAGATTAGTTAAAGGCAGAAGAACTGGAACGCCTGAGTCCCAAAATCTAGCATTTTGTGAGGTTTTTGTTGTAATTGTTGTGGAAGACACTTTGAAATGATAGTTTCCAAATTACCAAGTACTTCACAAAGGTTGAAGCATAGTTTATTAAAAACAACAATTTGCTTTACTATTTTTCTGCTTCTTTGTAAAGGAATGAATTAGCATGTTGAAGATCAATCAAACAAAGTTCTTGACATGTCATTGCAACTGTATAGATGGAACAGATATATGAGAGGTTGGCCTTAAATCAGGGATGTCGAACTCCAGGCCTCGAGGTCCTGCAGGTTTTAGATCTCACCCTGGGTCAACACACCTGAATCAAGTGATCAGTTCATTACCAGGCCTCTGGAGAACTTCAGGACATGTTGAGGAGGTAATTTATCCATTTAAATCAGCTGTGTTGGATCAAGGAAACATCTAAAACCTGCAGGGCATCGGCCCTCGAGGCCTGGAGTTCAACACATCATTGTTATTTCACCATCAAGTATTCAAATAAGGTCAGCGCCAGCCAGCTCTTTCCCCAACCGGGGAGGGTTCAAGCAAATGAGGACTGCCTCTGGATAGAGTTAACATTTGGTGGATTATGAGGCCGAATGGAAAGCCTATTAGGAAACAAATGTGATATTGTTTCAGTTCGCTGGTATTGATGTTGCAATAGAGAACTAATTGTTGAAGAAAGAGCACTCACTTGGCACAAGACACTCGCTCAAAAGCTGATGTGCGGGTATTATGGTTCTTGCATTCCCTCTCCACCTTCTGTGCGAAAAAAGCTTAAAAACAGAGAGTCAAGATTAAGCATTTGTGATGTGAGCGGTATATTTCCAGTCACTGGGTTAGAGTTTCTCACCATTCTGAAGCACGCTGACAAGAGTGACGATGACCAGGAGGTAGATGTTTTCCACCACTTTGTTGGAGTCCATGATTATCCTGTGAGCTTTAGGAGCAGGTGTTTGCTGGGCTGAAAGAGACAAAGATTGTCTTTCACATCCAAACAGGCGTATTTAAAGTCAGTAGCAAATCATAAACCTGATCTCTCCCTTCATGACATCATGTTGTCCCATCCCACATACACACTTGTTTGTGGCTTCCCCTTTATGTAAATGATGCTCTGGTTTAATACAGAGGGCTGCAAACAACGTTGCTGCTACTTCCTCTGTGTGCTTGTGTAAGACCGGATTGCATGTAAAGGCCTGGCTTGATGTTTTGCAAAATTATTTGCATCACTATTACGCTATGTGTCACCTCTCATTACTCCCAGTAATTACATACATGAGTAGTGTTATGAACAGACACTTAAAGTATTTCTGGCAATAAATAATCAAGACCATGCATGGAGAATGTGTCAACATATACAACACAGTGCAAAAGGTTTGATTTAACCCTCGTGTCTTTATATTTTGCCTCAAAAGAGACAGACTTTCTATTTTCTATATACATTTGTTGTTATTTGTATTATTTTAAAATAGTATATTTTGGTACTTTGTCATTTGTTCCAGTTTCTTTAGTTAAATGTATGAAACATGTCAAAGATGACACAGTTTGGCATACATAACATTTTATTTTTGTACCAAGAAGGTGACCAAGGAGCTGTTAGCTGAAAACTTAGCATTTTACAGCACAGTGTGCAAGTAGAGGACAAATTTACAACAGGTGAACACAGGGCCGGCCCGTGGCATAGGCCGTATAGGCAAATGCTAAGGGCGCCGTCCATCAGGGGGCGCCACGCCAGTGCCACAAATGTTGAAAAAAAAAAAAGTTGGTACTATTATTTCTAAATACAAAAAATAATCCCACGTTAATTAAAATGCAAAGTAAAGCTTATTTAATAGAAATATTATTTGTTACAACATTACACTACACTGCTGATGTAGGGGGGCGCCACCTAAAATCTTGCCTAGGGCGCCAGATTGGTTAGGGCCGTTTCTGGGTGAACAGTATGTGAAACTGTCAAAAAAAGAAGAAAAATCCACCTGACACAGCACCGAGAGATGCATTTAGCCCTTCATGATCCATTCACGACCCATTGTCTTCAATGAAGTTTCATCAGAAATGGTTTCAGTGGAAGGGAGGCTGTCAAGACATGGCAATAACAACACACAAGAGCTTTGAATGTCCTTCGGGAAGACTTCTGAGTTATTCCTGAAGGCTACTTTACGAAAGTTTGTCGAAAAGAGTTCAGGATGTGTTGAAGAATAAAGTTTGTTGGAATTGTACAAACTCTTTTTTTTGCCTTATATATAGTAATTCCGAGTATGTTTGCAGATGTTTCAATTAATTGCCGACCTATTTTCTAGTTTCCTAGAAAAACGTCAATTACAGCATACTGTATAACACAACATGCATTTAAAAAGAAGGTACCCCCCAGAAACAATGTAATCATTTTTTATCCTACAAGAGTAAAAGTAGAGTAAAAATAGAGCTGGCTTATTCTTATTCTGATTTGACCCACTTACAGTCAAATAGCACCTGCGTGCGCCTTTCAAAGGAAATGCAACGTCCTCGCTGATTTTTTTAAATCTCTTTTCAAAACTTTATATTGAATGACTTTGATGCATTCTCGTATCGACTAAATCCAAATAAAGACGTCCTCCGCCCTACAAAACCCCAAACCCGAAGATATCCAGAGACTAATGTCGTTCTTAATTTAAAAATATCTTTGCACACCTCTTCCTAACACCTACAGTGTAACACCGAACATGTTTATAATGCCTTTGGTTTACAAACACCAGTGAAGATGAGCTGGACTAAGGAGCTAGCTTAAAACATGCTGTTCGGTGTCAGCTTTCGGGGAACGAATCGCTAACGTTAAAGTTATTTTAGGAACGTCATGTCGCCAGGAACAAAAGTATCATTATCATCCTATCAGCTCCTGATTCGTTTGCTATCCATTTGTCATATACATATGATGATGATTCTTGGCCGCAAATCCCATATGGTCTAGCGGTTAGGATTCCTGGTTTTCACCCAGGCGGCCCGGGTTCGACTCCCGGTATGGGAACGCCCTTTTTCCTCGAGTTTATTCTTTTTTTACATATCGTCACGTAAGCAGACGCAGGGTGCTTTATATAAAAACTTCACCCTACAAAACGACAGGACCACACACGCAGACAGCTTTCCTTTAATAAGTGCTTAATTTTAAATTTCCTCACCAATAAATGACACAACCAAAGGGTTGCCAATGCTAATGCTGTATCTTATTTAAAGCTTATCAGCTGGCTGTGTAAAACATGCACCCAATAAACAGTTCTGAAACAAAGCTGCAGCCAACAAATGCAAATTATTTGTGGTTGGTAGTAAATTTACCCGCTACCAACCAGCATTTCCTGAGATTCTCTTGCGAATATGGTATATCATTAAATTGTTTATTGTTAAAAACAACAAGTGTGCAGTATGGTACTCAACCAATAACTGGGTACTTGAATGACCTGAAACCAGCCCATTTTACATTTAATACTAAAGTTTTAAGTAACTAAAGTTGAAAAATCTGAACATAAATATTTTATTTCTCAAACAGGAAGCTAGTTGGAGGTTATGGTTATGTCCTGCCCCTTCCTTTTCATAATAACTGACATTTTGACAAGTACAAGAATCATATAAAGAATTTATTATTTACACTAAAAGACAGTTATAACTAAGTAATACATCAACACAAACAGAAACAAAATTTAATTGGCTTCAAATGGCCAGTTCCTTAGTTCAAAGTGCCAAAAATGCAAAAAAGCAACAACCCCCCCCCAAATTTCATCTGTTATTTAACATGACACACCTACAAACCTTCATTAACAGAAACATAAATACACATTGAGGAGTTCTCCCTTCTTTAATCTGAACTAAAAAATACTTCGACAATGTCGGTCGGGGTATGACTCGCAGCCTGAGAGAGGAACTCGTCAAGGAAGTTTTCGTCGTGTTGCCCGTTCATTCCGCCATTCAGCTCTGATGGTCTCCCAGCAGCTTCGACCACACGCTCTGCTCCGTCAGGCCCATTGGCGAACATCTCGAAGAAGCCCGTGCTGTCTGGCGAAAGGTTGCTGGCTGTTGTTGCCGGCGAAAGCAAGTCCGACAGGAAGTCGTCACTGGTGGCTCCATCGTAGGTGCTTGAGGTGACAGTGCTGGGAGAGTCCAAGTCAGTGCTGTCCGGTCGGAGCTGTAGTCCCTCATGTTTATCCAACATCTTATTGATTCTAGCAAGCTGCTTCTTCCTTGATTTGAGTTGCTTAAGCAGTTTGTATCTGAGGGCTTCTGTGCTGCCGAGGCCTACAGGAACCTCTGAGGAATGGCTGCCATGTCTCTTTAGAGAGGCTTTAAGGAGTGCCTTTGCTCCAGGTGTAATCAGGGACGTACAAGACATCACTGTAGGGGTGGTTAGGTGGTTAGAAGTGACTGGTTGTGACTGCACAGTAGGTGATAGGAGGGGTCTCTGGTTGTTTAAGCTCTTAGCACGAAATGCCCCGTACATGTCTGCAGCTTTCACTGGCAGATCTTCGCTGTCCTCTGTCCGGAGTTGTGGTTTTGGGTAGAGCGCCATTGGAAGATGCGGTCTCTTCACAGAGTTGGGGGTAGAGTGAAAAGGAGGAGGAGGAGGAGGGGGCTTTAATTGTGTGTCTGATGCAGGGGCAAACTTAGCAGTGGACTTCTGAACTTGGTTTAGTGGATGTTTGCTAAGCAGGAAGGACCAGCGAGAATTCTGATCTAGTAGTGATGCTGATGTGGGACCGCTCTCATTGGCAGAGAGGGGTGGGTTATCAGTAGAAGACACGAGGGAACCCTGTTGTGTAATTTCAGTAGATGGACTCTTATCCTCAGTATCAGGGACCACAGGCTGTTCACGGTTTACTCCACAGGGCTCTGAAGATGTCGATGATGAAGTATGCAAAGCTACTTTTGATGAAGCTACCTTTTTACCTTTTGCTCTGCTGACGGTTTTCCCCCTGCTGATTCCTTTCCCTCGTCCTCTCCTGGCACTGGGCACAAATGTCGGATCGCTGGACGAGCCGTCCCCTGAGTCGGGATCACTTGAGGTGGAGGGAAGGTCAACACTGGGACAGTGATGCAGTTTATTACCTTTGGCAGCAGAAGAGCTGTCAAGAATTTCATTCTTACCGGCGGTGTTCAGATCTAGAGTTTTGTGGTTGTTGTTTAAAGACTGCATTTCTACATCGGGTTTTACTTCAACCAGTGTGAGCGTAATGATTTCACTGTGGGTTAGGCCCTCAAAGGTGTCGAGCAAAGTGGTGGCACCTATGGAAGTATCAAAGCCTGCCGTGACTGTTGTGTCCATGATGCTGCTGGTGTCTTCAGTGAGAGCGCAGATGATGTCGGTGTCGTTATGAGGAATTAAGAAGAGACTGATCTGGACTGTGAACCAACACCCCATCCGCTACCGAACCTTCATTTAAACTGTTGTTTCTCTCATTGTCAGAGAGTGCAGATGTGGAGGAGGAAGAACAGATGTGAAGCTCTTTGTCGTCTTCCACCTCCCAGAAGACGATATGCATCTCATTAGCAGGGACCTGAAGCTTTTGGTGGGTCTTACAGTCAGGGTATTTTAAATCATCATATTCCAGCCACGAGCCTGCAAATTTAAAAAAAAAAAAAAAAAGCACAACAAATGGTTACAGCAAAATGCTGCAGGTTCAACTTGGTCGTCTATGTCAAGGGTTTGTTTTACGTGACCAATGAATAAGAAAAACTGAAATAACATAAAACAAAATAAATAATGCAGAATTACGGTCTCTTCCAAGAGCAACTCTGCGCAACACAGTCTGCCATATGTCTAATCTATTCAAAGCATACTGCAGACTAGTTAATTATCTAACTTGTGAAAGAAATAGCTACACATCACAATAACGTTACATTTGCAAAATCGGTAAGCTAGATACAAAATAAAATAAAATTATTCAATAAATCTAATTATTAAATGACAGTGAAATAGACAGCAAATAGGGTTCTTCTCTTGCATGAACTGTCCAGCAGAATGTGCTGTTGGCAAACTACGGCAGAGTCAAATCAGACTCAACCATTAAGTGTTTCAACCACAAAGAAAAGCACTTAAATGTAACTTCCAGTTTAATAAAAACCAAAAAACCTAATTTGACCTCATTTATTTGTGTAAAAATACTGCACTAACAACTTCAAAATATCTACTTAATCAAATTCAACTTGTATAAGGAAAAATGCATTACAAAGATGACACATCAAATGTTTAAAGTGAGAATTGCTTTAGTTTTGAAATGCTTATTTAGGATTTTATTAAAAAAAAAATGTATGCATCAAAGAGCTGGGACAGGGGCAACAAAAGGCTGAAAAGGTTGCGTAACAATAAAGAAACCATTTATCCCACAGAAACTGTTTCAGACACAAAGAGAGATGATGTTGAGCACTCTTAGAAGAAGACTACAAGTCTGTACACAGCATCTACTGAACATCTAAAATCAAGCGAGAATGGAAAAACAACTTTATTTTTGATCTACAGCAACGTGCTGTCGTTAAAAGGAGAGCTGATGCAACAAGTGGTAAACATGCCCCGTCCTACCGCTTTTGAAATGCTTCTGATTCATTTGAAATTGGCATATTTTTAAATAAATAAATATTTCTCAGTTTCAACATTCGATACTCTGTCATTTGCACAACATTAAATAATTCTGTCGTCTGTTCACATTTCACACACAAATACGTACCATCAGCGCTGCAAGTCCAGGTGACAAAGTGCTTCAGGTGACTCTTGTACTGTATGACAGTGGTGACGGAGTAGTTTCTGCCCTTGAAGTTGAAGGTGTACGTACTGACATCGTTGTTAGGGAGCCCCTCCACAAAGTGCAGTGCAAACACTGGAGGCAGACTATAAAACACAAAGCAAGGCAAGAAAAGCAAAAAGTGGTTATAGGTATAAAAAAGTGAAAATCCAGACAGACTTTAACAATGCATTTGTTTTGTTTTTTTAAAAGAATGTTATTTATTTTAACCACTCTGTGCATTAGTTTTGCAAAGAAAAACATACCCTGCAATAACTCAAGTCTGAGCTGCACTCTCTTTATTACTCTCACAGTATATTCATAAGGACACCACTGCTACAGATGACCCACTTCAATTTTTTTT